AACTCAAGGTGATCCTCCTGCCTCGGCCTCCTGAGTGCTCAGATCACAAGTGTGTGCCACCACACCCAGCCATAAACTGTCCTTTAGGAACAGCCTTTCTCTTTACCTTCTTCAGCACTGTGTAATAGTGGAGTTTCCCCAAAGGACCCGGCAAAGCCAGGCCTACTTCTTCATAACACTAAGCTCAAAACAAAGTGACAACTGCAGCAGCCACAGCGACAGAAAGGAAAGCCCACTCAGCGTGTCTGGGGGGGCGAATCTCCTCCCCTGAGCGTTCCGGAGTCAGTCCTGGTTGTAGCGCTCCCCAGCGTAGATATCTCCCCCCCTGCAGCAGCCTCTGCAGCCCTACTGAGGGGTCGCTGTTGACTACATAGCCTTGGCCGTAAACTCACTCCTGGAGAGCAGGCCTGGTTGTAGCTTTCACTAACCTGCTGTGCGGGTGTCCACCTCTGAACCAATCAGCGTAGCGCCACAGATGGGACGCTGCTGATTGGACTGGCCTAGGTCACGTGCCCACTTCTGGGCCTGGGGTTTAACCAGTCCTAGCTTGTCCCAAGGCATCATGGATTAAATATGTAAAGTCAAGGGACAGTCACCAGAAGGGCTCCTGCTTAGGGGACAGGCAGCAGCGCTCCTCTGAGGGGCCTGGCTGTTCCTATGCCAGTCTCAGATGAGCTGCAGACCTTTCCATGACATTCTAAAGAACTGTTCACAAAATAAGGATATTAACTTGGCTGTGTGAACAACATATTCAGGGTTTTCCCCCTGCAGTTGAGTAGGATTATTTATTTTGGCGCCAGGGATCAAACTCAAACCTCGTACTTGCCAGATAGGTGCTGTGCCACTGAGCTATATCCCTAGCCCCTGATAATTGGTTTTTTTCTTCTGATTTTCTTGTTTTTGTGTTTTTGAGACAGGGTCTCATTATGCAGCTCAGGCTGGTCTTGAGCTCATTTTGTAGCCCAGACTAGTCTTAAACTCAAAACGATCCTCCTGCCTCAGCCTCCCGAGCACCGGGATTACAGGCATGCGTCACCATGCCCTGCTTATTTTTTACATATATTGTTTTAAGTCTTCACAGAGTCAACTTTTTCAATAAATAGCTTGACTTTATGTGTTAGCCTTTTAAAATAATTCCCCTCAAAGATTTTATATGTCAGTTTTTCCCCTAATGCTTTCATGCTGCTGATTTCTTCATTCCAGTATTTACGCATCTGTAATTTGTTAGTAAAAACTGTGAAGCCTGCGTCCCCCTCACGTAGCTGCTTTTTCCACCACGGTTTATGGAGCAGCTCACCCTCTTCCCAGTGGACTGGAGATCTCTCTCATCACACTGGGTCTGCAGCTCTGTGCCTCAGGTCCTCTCTGCTGCACTCACCCCCGTCCATCTTCCCTGTGAGTCTTTCCCGGGAAACGGAGCACACTGATAGCCGCTGAAATCTGTGCTGTGATCACAGTGTAAGTTACCATCACTTACAAGGAGCTGGGCGTGGCAGGCACGTCTGCTATCCCCCTGCTTGGGAGGCCGAGGCAGGAGGATCAGAGGAACACACCTCGGTATCCAGCCTTGACACTTAGCAGGACCCTGTCTCAAAGTGACAAATACAAATGGCTGGGGATGAAGCTCACTGCAAAGGCCATGGGTTCAGACAAAAAAAATCCTTGAAAGGAATCATGCAGGGCGTAATTATGTGGCGCACACCTGTAAGCCCAGCACTCGCACTCGGGAGGCTGAGACAGGAGAATCTTAGCAAGTGCAAGACCAACCCAGGCTACAAAGGGAGCTCAAGGCCAGCCTGAACTGCACAGGGAAACCCCGTCTGCAAAAAACACAACCAAAAACCGAATGGAGTGGGACGGTCGGTAGGTGTGGCCACACATCTGTCACTGTCTTGCAGCAGCAGATGTCACCAAAGGAGGAAGCAGAAGTTCTTTGCTTTCGCTGCTCTTTCCCCTTCTGCCCCATCCTGGCCCACAGGCGAGAACCTGATGGCCCACAGGCTTCTAAAAACAGGACAAAAGTCCCCAAGTAAGCAGAGGTTTCTACTCACAGGGTCAACTAAAAGAGTGCTCGAAAAGATCCAATCAGAACCCGTCTTCTGAACCAGAGGGTTTCACATCCTCTGTAAAATGGACCCACGAGTCCTGGGGGCTGAGTTACTGCGCACTAACGGCAGCTTTCCCTTTCTGTGGCTTTGGTTAGGACTCAGGAGCCGGAGCCCTGCTTCCCCGCGCGGCCTGGTCCTGCTTCTCTTTATTTCAACGTGACCGCTGGCAGTCGGCTCAGTGTTGCAAGAATGATGACCATGGAGGTGACTGCCGGCCCTGGCGGGGATGAGCCAGGCCTGCCTGTGCACTCGGGCTTCCAGGAAAGCGGAAGGCAGCCCGTCCAGTCCAGGCCGGGCCTCGCCCGTGACCCCCGGGCCAGGCACCCAGTGTGTGACGCACAGCGGGTGCGGGAAGGCCCCGCTGGCTTCCTGCAAACCAAACTTTTGAGGAAGCTGAAGAGCAAGTAACTGGCACAACTCAGGGAGATGTGAATCGGTGCGGGGACGGCTGGGAAGCCAGGAGCCCTGGCCTGGCCTGGCCTGGCTCTGCCGGGATGAACTCGCTGAGCCCAAGGCTGGGGCTGGGGCTCGGGCGGGGGCGGGCTGTACTGCAGAAGGAGCCACGGCCCTGGGGCTCTGTGCTCTGTGTTTCTGTCTGAGCTCACACCGAGATGTCCTCACACATGCCAGGCAGGAACCCCACCACTGAGCTGCTGCCCCACCCCACCTCGCCTCTCTTCCTTTCTAAATGCTGCAATCAGATCATTTCTGTACCGGGGATTGCTTTGCAGCCTCAAAGTATCAAAACAAGGACTTGGAATACTCAAAATTCCTCAGCATAAGGCAGGGACGGTGGCCCACACCTGCACTCTCGGGAGGCCGAGGCAGGACGATTGCTGTGAGTTCAAGGTCAGACTAAACTAGGGAGACTAAACTGCTAGGGAGATGCTATCTCAAAAAAAAAAAAAAAAAAAAAAATTCCTCGGTGTACACCCTCAACTCTGAGGCTGTTCTCTTCCCACCTAACACCTGTCTTTGCTTTCCTCTAGGGGTGTCGTGCAGTGATACCAGGTTCGGACTCAATTTAAACTACTCCATAATATCTACCTCATTCTAGCCTTTGCCTGAGTGTTTCAGTCCTTCCAGCCCTAGAACACACACAGATTCTGGCCCCCTTCCCACGGGAACAGGAGAGAACACTAACAGGGGAGGACAAAGGATCAGGCCGAGCCCTTCCTTTGCCTGAGTCCTACTGCCCTCCAGACCTGGGATGGGACGGGAATCCTTCAGGTTTGCTTCTTCAGTCAGTGAGCTAGGATGCTGATACAGACAAATGATGTCTTCCTGCCATCTACATAAATGATCATTTAATCAGCTCCACTGAGAATTGTCATTGGCTGGTGCTGGGTTAGACTCTAGGATTCTGCGGTGATCAGAACAACACAGCGTTTCAGCTTTGTCAGCTTTAAGGACAGACAAGAGACAGAGGGAGTGGAAAGGATGTAAAAATAAAAATAACTAAGATGCCTTATGTATCTGAGCCAACTCGCCGCAACGAAAGCAATCATCATCTACCACAAATGTGTACTAGTAGAATTTTAAGAGACAGACATGAAGTAGTTGCACAAAACAAACGATTATAAATTATAATGGATGCCGTGAGGAAATGCATAAGCAGTTGTCTAAAGAACACAGAAATGTTAAGGGATGACAGGAAAGGGGAGCTGGTTCAGTGTAGGAGGCTTGGGAAGGTGACATCTGAGCTGACACAGGAGGAATGCTTAGCTAGCACCAAGAGGCATCGAAGGTCCAGTGTCGGCACTTGGTTCTTCTCTCATTGTGGATCTAATAAATGTGCATCGCCTGTTGTGTGCCCCCATGGTGCTGCGTCAGTCTGTGCACCATACATTAAAAAACAGCGCATGCCCCTTAACCCGATTGGCAGGAATACTCATCCCAGGGAGCTACTGGCCCAGCCCCCTTCCACTGCACAGCTCCATCCCAGTCCTGCTTGGCGCTCAGGCTGCAGGAAGGATGGGGAAGTGGTCTTACACTATTTGAGTCCCTGGAGCTGCAGATCTCAATTTCTGAAGCCTTGCTGGGGCCACTGTTGGAAGACACTTTGCCTCTGCACGAAGTGTCAGGCACTGTCCTTGAGTGCAGGGCACGGGGAAGAAGACACCTCAGGGACTCTGCCACCAAGAAGCCAGCACCTGTGAGGAATGTGTACAAATCGGAGAGGCAAAGAATTAACCGACAATGGACGGGGTGCTCTGGAGGGAGGGTTAAAAGGAAAGGGTGAGAAAGAGCTGGCCAGAGAGAGCTCCTGGGAGCAGGGCTGGGCTTTGAGAGGCCGGCGACGTGAGCACGCGTGGTTGACCTGAGGCGGCCTCCTCGAAGGCGGAGATAGACTGCATCCCGATTGTCCTGAGTCATTGTTTCTCAATAACGCAAGTGAGGCCCTCATGGGTCCTTCAGCAGTGTCTGGGGACACACTTGGTTGTCATAACAGGGCTGGCGGGCTTAAGCTCGTAGCTAGGAACACTGCACAGAGCAGCGAGCTGCTGAGTCTCCTACAGCGTGCAGGCCAGGCCCGCGCGGCAGGGCCAGCCGGGTGACCATCAGTGCCAGCCCGAGGCACCGTGCTGCGGGCTCCGGGGAGGCAGGGGAGAGCGGGAAGCAAAGCCAGCCTCAGGGACCCCGCCTGGGGGACAGGCGCGGCCAGAAGCCTCTGGGCGCTCGGCTCCAGTGTCTTTTATCCGATAACCCAGCCGGCGACCCACCGCCGCGGACTCCTCGGCGCTTACTAACCCAGTAAACCAGTCGGCCACCGCATCGGACTTCCGGGGCGGGACCGGAAGTCCCTCTCAGCTGAGCGGCGGTGGGCCCGCCCAATGGGCGGTGCGGAGCCGGACGGGAGGTCTCGCGAGAACATTGCGCGGAGTCTCCCGGGAGTGCGGCCCGCAGCAGTAGCAGTGGCGCTGGCGGTGACGGCAGCGAGCGGCCGATGGATCGCGCGGCGGGCGAGAGGGCGCCGCTGCTGGGCGCGCGGCGGGCGGCGGCCTCGGCGGCCGGGGCGTTCGCCGGGCGGCGGGCGGCCTGCGGCGCCGTGCTGCTGACCGAGCTGCTGGAGCGCGCGGCCTTCTACGGCGTCACGTCGAACCTGGTGCTGTTCCTGAACGGGCCGGTGTTCGGCTGGGAGGGCGCGCAGGCCAGCCAGGCGCTGCTCATCTTCATGGGCCTCACCTACCTGGGCTCGCCCTTCGGCGGCTGGCTGGCCGACGCGCTGCTCGGCCGGGCGCGCGCCATCCTGCTCAGCCTGGCGCTCTACCTGCTGGGCATGCTGGCCTTCCCGCTGCTGGCCGCGCCCGGGTCCCGCGCCGCGCTCTGCGGGCCCCTGCGCCCGGTGCGCGTGCTCAACTGCTCGGCGCCCTACCCGAACGGCACGGCCGCCTGCCCCGACGAGGCCCCGCGCCGCTGTGCGCTCGCTACCTTCGCGGGGCTGGCGCTGGTAGGCCTCGGCGTAGCCACTGTCAAGGCCAACATCACTCCTTTCGGCGCCGACCAGGTGAGCCGCCCCGCCCACCTGGACCTGCACCTGCGCCTGCACCTGGGGGGCTGGCGGCGTGGAGGGGGCTCCGCCTGGTACAGGAGGGATACGGAGCCCTCAGCATCTGGGCACTTCCTTCTAGTTGAAGGAGGAGGCGCTGGATTAGGGACCCCAACACTCTGCGTTTGTGCCTGCCACGCCACCAAACAAGAACGCCTTTGGCCCGGCGACAGCTTCCCTCTGGTGCGGGAGGAAGCCCGCCTCCTAGCATCGCTTCAGGAGGGATAAGGATCCCCCGACACCTGGGCGCTACCTTCTGCTTGTGGGAGTAAGCCCTGGAACAGGTAGACAGGAGCTGTTGAGGGGCCCATCTCCTGGTGGGGTGGGGGAGCCATGTGTCCAGGGATGGTCAGCAGTGGCTGAAGGATAGAAAAAGTTGAAAGTCGCATGCAGCAGAGCTGTTTGGGGGGTGACGAAGAAGGACTGAAATTTTGAGAGCATCCTGGGCAACTTGAGGCGACCTTGTGTCAAGATAAAAAGGGCTGGGAGTGTACCTCAGTACCGGACCGCTGGTCTGATAATGTTGAGCTTCTGGGTCCCCCAGTACTACAAAAACAAGAGTAGTTGAGCCCCCGACATTGCTGGAGCCTCCTGTTGTTTCAGAGATGTTGGGGTTGGTAGAAAGGGCCCCGTGGGGGCCTCCGCTCTGAACCCGCACAGCCAACAGAGGAAGGAGCCATCTCGAGCCTCCCAGGGGAAAGGAAATGGTCAGGTGACTGGGTGCTAAATCAGGTCACTTCCTTTTTTTTTTTTGGTACTGGGAATTGAACTCAGGACCTAATGCTCACCAGGCGGGCACTGTACCACTGAGCCACAGCCCAGGCCCTGCTTCCTGTTTTTTGAGAATTGTGGCAAGAATGGTTTTTACTTCTTAAGAGGTTGGAAGCTAGATTTTTTTTTTTTTTAATTGGTACTGGGGATCAAACTCACCACCTTGTGCTTTGCCACGCAGGCATGTGCTGCTGAGCTATATCCCCAGCCTCAGAAGCTAGATTTAGTGGCAAATGAAAACTTTATGAAATGCAGATTTCAGCCTCCATAAATAAAACTTAATTGGGACGTGGTGGGGCTCTTTGCCAAACCCCTGGACCAGGGCTGCTATCACCCAGCTGTAGCAGAGCCCAAGTGCTTCACAAAACCTAAAATGCAAACTGCTTGCTCCTCGGAGGATTGTGATGCCTGTGGTGGAGTGTGGTTGTGTGGGCCTCGGGGACACAGATCTCATGGGCATCAGCCTTGACTGACCAGAAGGAGGCCTGGCCAAGCGAGGAGGCATGAACACAGATAGGGTACTAGGCGGTGTTGGTGGGCTGCCATGGAACTTACTGTGTAGCCCAGGCTGGCCTCAAACTTGCAGCAATCCTCCTGCCTCTGCCTCCCGAGTGCTGGGATTACCGGGCTGCTCACCATGCCCGGCTTGTTGGTGGGTTTCCTAGGAGCCTGGGGACCCATGGGCATGGCTTCTGTGCTGAGAGCACCAGGCCCAGCTATGCTGCAGGGCTGAGAGCACATTCCATCTCCAGCTTTCAAAGGGCACAGCGCCCATCCAGCTGCCACAGGGCCTGTGCGGTTACTGAGCGCCCTCCTTGACCATTTCCCATGAGTCTCCAGTAAGCCTCACTGTGGTTCCAGGTGCGCAATGTGATTGTGCCCCTCAGTGAAGCCAGCAGGAGAGCTGGTCCTGGGCTCAGGCATTGTGACTGGAGCTCACGCTCTCCGGAGGTCACAGGTCTGTAATTCATTGTCTCCCACCCTGCAGGTGCTGGGGATTGAGCCTAGGGCCCCGTGTGTGCCAGGCACAGACTGACCACTGAGCTCCTTTACCTGCCTGTATTTCTTACAAGAATGAACGACCCAGGAGTGGTTATCTTTATTTGAATGGATCTGACAGAACTTGGGCATTTTTGATCCATAAGTAAATGTGAAGTCGAGACGTGTGCCCTGCCCTAGGGTAACTGGCCTCAGCTCCGATGTCCAAGGCCCGCCCTTGCTGGAAGATGCCAGGGTGACTTGACAGCCAGGTGCCAGGTGCTGTGGGATCGGCTCCCGGGGCATTTCAAAGCCCTTCTCCAGGCACGGGAGATGCTTTGACCGTAGATCTCACATTCTGTGTCTCCTGTTGATGTGACATTTCTCAGATGTGATGGCACCGTGACTCCTTCTTTTTAGGAGTTGGGTGATGCAGTCTGGATGGCAGAGTAAGATGCTGTAACGTATTTTCAAATAGCTTAGCCAAAGTATTTTATATTTTTATCGGAGAAAAAGAAAGCTGGAGACCTAAGTTTGGGGCATACAGGTGCATTTTATGGTTCTCAGAACTTCTGCGTAGAGGGCGAGGAATGAAGTTGGGGCTGTAGGTCAGCTGCTGGAGGTGAGCGCAGACACGGAATGCAGTTACTCAGCTGGGGTGTCAGCACTGGTGAGCCTTGGGAACGTGTGAGTGGGCGCAGGCAGCCTGGCAGGAGCCTCCCTGTGCAGCTCCCTCTGCCTGGAGATGCTCAGACCTGGCCCTGGTGGGTCAGTGGCCGCCCGAGGCCAGGCAGGTGTGAGAGTGACCGCAGACTGGACAGCAGGACCGCTGGCCGCACTTTTCACGGGTCAGTGTTATGCTGTGTAAGCTGTCACCTATAGAAGTCACGGGGCGGAGCTCAGGGCCCTAAGAGCAGGCTTTGCGCTTCATACAGGTCCTGGTGGGCTCCAGGGGACATCCCAGGCCCTCGTGGTCCCTGTCCTCATCCCCAGGTGCTGGCTGTTTGAGGAGCCCTGGGGTGCGGTTGGTTCCTCTCCTCTGGCCCACTCAGCCTTGGGGAATGTGTGTTGCTGGTGTCTGGCGCCCAGAGGCTTCTGAGTGGGAGGCCAGGGTCAGGAGCCAGGACTGCTGGTGGCTTTGGCAGTGGATATTAAAGCCCAGTGGCGTGGGTGACGGGAATCTTGCTTATCCAGTACTTAACCTTCCGCAGAGGTCGTGATCGTTTGTTTGTTGTTGTTGGTACTGGGAATTGAACTCACAGCCCTGTGCCTGCCAGGCGAAGGCTGTGTCGCTGAGCTGTATCCCCTGCCTGGTAACCATTCTTGAAGGGTGGGTCCGGTACTTCTTTTCTCCTTTTTTTTTTTTTTTTTCTTCTTTTTTCCAGTACCGGGGATCGAACTCACCACCGCCTGTTTGCAAGGCAGGTGCTTGTGCCACTGAGCTAAATCCCCAGCCCTTATTTTCTCCTTTTAATTTTTATTTTTATTAGCACAGTGCGTAATGACCGCATTCATCCTGGGGAGTTGGGGTGTATGTATCTGTGTTCTTTGTATGGGCCCCCACCCCCAGGATTTGACATGGTGATCAGAAAGAGGAAAACCGAGATGCAGATAAAGAGAACAAGCAGTGCTGTCTTCCCTAAAGGGGAAAAAACGCACTGTTGTGCACTTGGAGAAATTCTGCAAGTCAGGCAACTATGACTCACCGCGGGCCATCCAGTCCCTCAGCGTTAGCGCTCCGGATCAGTTTCCGGGGTATCATTTGACAGTCACTTGCAGGCTGCTTACCCTCGCTGGGCAGCGGCAGCTGCTCACACGGTGACATAATGGGGCCCACTGGGTGGGGGAGGCGTGTGACGTCCCATCTGGCAGCCAGCGTCCGTCCTCCTGCACAGAATGGCTACTGTGGTCACTCGGGCTGTGAAGTGGTTCTGGTGCAGGGACTGGCAGCCCCGTGAGCCCACCTCCAGGCCCACTCAGGAGAGGGGGCGGGCGGACTCTGAGGGGGCACCGGGCCGGCCTGTGGGCCTGTGCCTCCCCTTCTGCCCTTGGGATGTGTGTGGCGCCGCCCATCAGTGCCCCAGCGTGGAGGCCGGGCTCCGGGAGCACAGGTGTGTCTGGGCTGCCCGCCCCGCTAGGCCTGTCCCCTCCGGATGCTGTCCTCTTCCTGGCGTTTAACTGTGCCTTCGCCGTAGCGCTTCTGTGCTCTCAGCGTTCCTCTGCCCTGCCTGCAGTGCAGCGTGAGCTGTGAGGTGCTGCGGGAGGCCATGGCCCCGTGTGTCAGGGTCCCAGCGCGGCTGGCACTCGCTGAGGCTGAGGACCGTGCTCTGTGCCCACTCGCACGGGGCGGAGGGCACCCTGGGGAGTGCGGTTTATCTCGTGCTCCCCCTTTCAATCCCTGATGATCATGACCCTGTGACTCACTGAAACACAGAAGGAATGTCTACCATTCCAGCTGAAAATGGTACATATTAAGGGCAGTCAGGTTTGGGATTTTTGTCTTTTTGAGACAGACTCTCTGTGCAGTTCAGGCTGGCCTTGAGCTCACTCTGTAGCCCAGGCTGGTCTCGAACTCACAGCAGTGACCCCCCCTGCCTCAGCTTCCCGAGTGCTGGGATTGTAGGCGTGCGGCACCGTGCCTGGATAGGGGCGCTCAGTGTTGACTGTGTGACTTATATACCCTTCCTGTAGTCCTAAAAATAGACCTGGAAGCTCTTTTTCAGGCTGTGTGGCTGCTGCCGGGACGCTCATCGCATGTCGTGAGTGTTGTCTCGGTCCGCTTCAGGCTTGTTGTTTGCAGAGGATTACCTTGGGGTAGAAGCCAGAGTGTCCTGACCCTGACCATTCCAGGGCCGCAGAAGTAGGCAGTCTCTCAGAGGTCCACAGTCAGCCTCCAGCTAGTGAGTCGGCCAAAAAATTCATGAAGTGAAACTCGGTGGAAACGTCTGTGGCTGAGACGGGGCCCATGACAGCAGAGCCTTGATGGAAGGGGTCGCAGGGTATGCCCACCCGGGAGCTCGAGCTGGCCTAACAGGCTGTGGGAAGCAGCCTGGGAGCCTCACCTGCCTTGTGACTCTGCCTGTGTGTGTCCAAGTGCAGGAAGCTGGTGAGTTTTGAGCCTTTTGCAAATCACTGCTCGAGTCTGAGCCCTTCCGAGGATAGCCTTCCCGGGCTAGAAGCAGCCTGCAGGGTTCGCCTGGTGCTCAGCGCCTGTCTGACTCGGCCTAGCGAAGCCTCTCGGGAGCTCCCTGCAGTAGGCACGATGTCGGAGTCTGCTTTGGGGCGAGTCTGCTTGCTGGGTGCCCTTGGGGGTGCAGCGGGGTTGGGTGCGGAGCTGGAGGATCCGTCCTGGAGGACGCGTTCTAAAGCTTCCCGCCAGCACTTGTCAGCCGGAGCTGGTTCCACAGGTCGCTCACAGCGGGCTTCTGGGCCCTCGCTGGGGAGGACACGTGGGGAGGCTCGAGTGTGGGCGTGTGAGTCACCCTGGGTAGTCCAAGGCCCAGGGAAGGTCTGCAGGCTCTGAGGCCGTCTCCGTCTGCAGTCACTTGTGACCGTGTGTCTGGTCTGGGCCTTCAGTGTGCAGAGACACGATTTTACTGTGCTGTGTTTCTTACTCCTCCGCTGACGGCAGCCGTGGGAGTGCATCCCTGTGTGTACCGCCCTGGCCGAGGCCCTGTGGAGGGCTGCACCCAGCTCCCCAGGAGACGGGGCCCCTGAGCCTCAAAGGCAAAAGGAGAAACAATTGCCAAGAAAGACGTTGTGAGACTTCAAGTGTTTCCTTCCCTGTTACCTTAGGTCAAAGATCGCGGACCAGAGGCCACCAGGAGGTTTTTTAACTGGTTTTACTGGAGCATTAACCTGGGAGCCATCCTCTCACTGGGAGGCATTGCCTACGTGCAGCAGAACGTGAGCTTCTTCACCGGCTACCTCATCCCCACCGTGTGTGTGGCTGTGGCCTTCGTGGTCTTCCTCTGTGGCCAGAGCTTTTTCATCTCCAAGCCCCCTGATGGCAGCGCCTTCACGGATGTGTTCAGGATCCTCGCATACTCGTGCTGCTCCCAGGGGCGCCGTGGAATGCGCCCAAGCAGCAGGTAAGTGAGCGCTCTGCTCGCCCAGCACGATGTCGGGGTGCTTGCCAGTTGCTGCGGTTACAGTCCCAGCCCTCCAGCTCCCGAGGCCCAGCTCTGCTGCCCTGAGCCCCCAGAGGCGGCAGCGCCCGCCCGTAGACTCCCGTGCTCCCCGCCCAGCGTCCCCTCCCTGCCAGTGCAGCCTGGGCAGAGCACACAGACAGGAACTGGCTGCACAGGGAAGGAGGCAGGGTGAGCATCTTCCGCGGTGCTGATTTGCAGGGACTGCAATGCTTAGTGAGCCCCGAGCGGCTGCTCGTTGTGTTGGTGCCACGTGTCAGAAGCGCTGCAGGCCCTGCAGGGCCGCAGTCGGCCGGCCACAGGGCTCCGGCATCAGGGAGCCGCTCCTCACCGCACTGCATTCGTGCATTCGTCCAGTTTAGGTTTTTGAGACAGGGTCGCCTGTGTATTCAGGCTGGTTAAGCTTCCTGCATAGCCCAGGCTGCAGTCCTGCCTCAGTCTCCCGAGTGCTGAGATACAGATGTGCCCCACCGCGCTCAGTAAAGGAAGTTCTGTTCTGTTCTGTTGCTTTGCCGAGCTGGGGATTAAACCCTGGCCCGTAGGCGTGCAAGGCTGGTGCTTTGTCACCGAGCTACATCCCAGCTGGCACTGCCTTTAGACACAGGGTCACGGCGGCAGCGCTGCAGGGTGCAGTTTGGAGAATGTGGCCCCCTCTGTGAGGCTCATCCGCCTCGCACAGTTCTGAGACCCGTGATCGCAGAGGTTCGGCACGGACAGCCCTGGGCCTGAGGACCCTCCAAGCCCAGCAGATTGGGTCTCGTGGTCCTGCAGGGTGCCAGTTGATAAACCGAGCCAGAGAGCACAGCAGCTGTTGTTGCTTGTTGACAGACACTTCACACAGACTGAAATCCGTCCCTTTCAGCCACGTGCTGTGACTTAGGACAAATTCAAGCAGTAGTGTCGCCATCAGCGCCCCGCATGGGCATCACGGGCCTTTGGAGGACGGCTCCTCACATGCCTGGGGCAGCCTGGGAGCTCCTGGTGCTGGCTGAGCAGCAGCCGCCCGCCTGGCCACTGTTAATGCCCACCTGCCCTGGGCGGTGCTGTGTGTCCCAGGCCATCTGTGCTCACCTCCCTTGCAGCGACTGTGTCTAGCACCCTGCGTGGTGGATCTGAGCTGTGCCATGGAAGCGCCCTGCTCACCGCCTTTGCTGAGGTGGACACAAGCCCCCTGGTCCCTCTGGGAAGTCTGACAAGTTAACCTTCCTCATGGGCTTGCTGGAAATTCAGGGGATCATGGTGGCCTTCAGACCTGTAATTCAAAGCCGAGTCCTGAGGCCTGTGAAGGACATTCTGAGTTAGTTCCCTGCTCAGCAGCGGACACTGGTGTTTTTGCCAGGGCATCTGTACTGATTAGACCAAAGCAGTGCTCGAGCCTGGATGCATCCTCTGTGGACGCCTGGCCCTTGAGGCCTGCATTTGAGGGGCCATAGACTTGTCCAGGAGAACCCCATCCCTTGTAGCAAGGCTGGACGCTGGTGTTACTTAGAAGCCGGTTTCCCTGCAGATGTGATTTCGGGGTCATCTTGGGCAAAGAAAGAAAAAAGGAGGCCTTGCAGAGCAGCTGTGGCCGGGAGGGGGTCAGAGCAAGGCAGGCAGCGGCCGCTGCTCCTCCCTGTCCTCTTCACACTGCTGAGAGGGACTGGTCTCACGGGACCGCGCTAGGTGGACCAGGCTGTAGCAGGTGCCTGAAATGTGCCCGTCACTGGCAGCTGCTGGGAGCCATGAGGAGCGGCCTCCAGGGCCCGGGGAGGGCACTGCCCGCACCCCCACCGCACGGCTTCCAGTGCAGCCTCAGTTTCCGCTCTGGAGAGTGATGCCATGCTGTGTTAAGGGAGCTGAGGTTTATGGGTTCACTTCATTGTACTGGAGTGGGCAGGGCCGGAAGCGTCTCGAGGCCCGGGCCACTCTGGGCTGAGTCATGAGGTCTGTGGGGACCCCGCCCCGGGACCGAGGCCCTGTGCAGAGCCCTGAGGCACACTCCTGGAGGGGCGGGGGAGAAGTAGCTCTGGTCTCTCTCTGAGGTCTCTGAGTTTGGTTCATGTTGGGCTGCAAAGTAGCAGGTGAGGGTGCACACACCAGTGACCCAGCACTTGGGAGACTGAGGCAGAAGGATCTGCACGAGGTCAAGGCCAGCCTGGGCCACACAGTGAGTTGGAAGTCAGTGTGAGCTACACAGCAGGATCCTGTCTCAAAACAACAGGAACAAAACGTAGCAGCAGGCCAGCGCCATGCGTGAGTGAGGGCGTCCGGGCGCTCCGCAGGTCTCGTGGTCCCATGGCGTTGAGTGGCGGGAGGTCCGGTCCAGCAGTTAGGGCTTTGCGCAAAGCGGGTATGCTGTCAGGCATCGAGTGTTTTGAGGGCAGCGTGCCTGAGATGACCGTGGTGAGGGACGGCCATGTGCGCTAGGCCCTGAGGACTTTAGGTAAGCCTTTTAACAAGGAGGTAGGACTTAAAGAGGTAAATGCTTTCAAGTCAAATGTGAGCGGGGTCTGCGGCCTTCCAGAGTCTTTGCCTCCCCCAGACCCGGCTCGGAGGTGCGGAGACAGCCCCCGCCGTAGCCAGGCAGAGCAGGGGAGCCCCCTGCGCCCCATAAGCCCCTGCTGCCTTGGTTGTAGGTTCTTCACCAAAGTGTGGCTAGCACAGAGCCTTCTCTCTCGGGGTTCAGAGCTAAAATGGCAGCTTTGTGAGATGGGAGGGATCTAAGACTGTGCCCCCACCTGGATGTGCCTCTGCTGGGGTGGCGGGGCTGGGAGGACCCGCTTTGTGGGTCCCCAGCATCTGAGAGGACCCAGCCGGCCAGACTGAGGAGCCGGAGCTGCTGGGAGCCGGGTGTGGGGTGGTGTGTGAACCGCGACCCTGTGGGGCGGTGGCAGGTGCACGGGCAGGGCTGCCCCCCTGAAGCCAGGCTGCCGGATTTGGTCCTGGCTCTCCCTCTGGGCACAGCATATTTCTGCTCCTCTGCCCACCCTCCTGTCCTCTGTGCCATGGACCAGAAAGGCTTTTAGTGCCTCTGGGCTTTGGTCAGGCGACTGGGTGCGTGCCCTGTGGCCTCGGCAAGTTGCCCATTACTTTGCCAGCTGGCCAGCGGCATCCGTTCCTCCAGCCTCCCACACAGAAGGAAGCACAGCTTTCCTGGTACAGTTCCCTTCTGCCCGCACCATGAGCCGGCACCATCGCACCCCACCAGTCGCCACTGGTGTCAGCTTCGATGTCCAAGTGCCCTTCCCCCAGCCCCCAGTCTGGCCTGCTGCAGGGTGCGCAGCCTTAGATGGCACAGACGGCTGGGGTCTACACGGGGGACTGGGGGGTGGTGGCCAGCACTGGCCTCGGGCAGCACCGAGCAGGCTGCAGTAGCCTCCGTGTCCCTTGGTGCTCAGAGGCCGCGCCCCGCTGGCCAGGGAGCCTTCTGTGTCCCTGGGCTGAGTCAGAGCTCGGGCAGCCTCAGGGGTTCACAGCCAGTGAGCGGTGGGAGCCAGGGCCATGAGCTCAGCGAGCTGGTTCCCCCAGACTCGCTTTGATAGCCGAGACCCGTGCGGGGTGAAGAAAACTAACTCGGTCGTTTTGTTTCCCAAAGTGAAGGCCTTGGCGTCTTTCAGCAACCTTCTAAACAAAGTCTGTTTGATTCATGTAAGATGTCTCATGGAGGGCCGTTCACGGAAGACAAAGTGGAAGATGTGAAAGCCCTGGCCAAGGTCGTGCCCGTGTTCTTGGCTCTGATCCCTTACTGGACAGTGTATTTCCAAGTGAGTGGCCTCCCTGTCCTCCGCGAGGTGCGGCGGGCGCCTGGGCTCGGAGCGTTCCCCTGAACCTGAGATCTGTCTTTAGTAGTGGGCTCCGCGGCTGCTGTGCATGCACTGCAGACCTCGGGAACTGAGGCTGGGGTGGGCGTCTGCTGGCTTCCAGGCTCCGCTCTCCCCCTCCGGTCTCCTCTGGTTAGCAGCAGGCGTAGGTCCCGGGCAGAGCTCGCAGTAACCAGATAGTGCCCTGTCCTCTTCCCAACTCGGGCACCGTCTGTCCTGGGGTCCCTGCGGCTCACCAGTCGGGGAGGGGTCCCCTGCTGCTGTCTCGAGGCCCGCTTGACACGACTGCTTTCTGTCCCAGATGCAGACCACATATGTCCTACAGAGTCTGCACTTGAAGATTCCAGAAATCTCAAGCGTTACAACCAACCCGCACACGGTAAGAGCCTTGGCTGGGCCCCCCCGAGGGGAATTAGCCTGGCGCCTCAGTTCATGAGTGCTCAGGGCCTGGTCAGCAGGTGGCCCCTGCCCTCCTGCAGAGCGCACTCTCGGGTTGGTGGTCAGTGTTTCCTGGGGTGTGAGTTAGCATTTCCAGCGGGGTTTACGCCCGTCCCCGTTAAAGCACAGAACAGGTGCACACTCCTGGAGATAAGCCTGCCCACTGCAGCGTCCGGGGTGCTGGGCTCTGTCCCCCAGGACAGGCTTGGGGCGCCCTTGCGGCCTCCTCACTGCCCGCCCCGCCTCACCGCCCGCAGTTCCCCGCGGCCTGGCTCACCATGTTCGACGCGGTGCTCATCCTCCTGCTCATCCCGCTGAAGGACAGGCTAGTGGACCCCATCCTGCGGAGGCATGGCGTGCTGCCGTCCTCGCTGCGGAGGATCGCGGTGGGGATGTTCTTCGTGATGTGCTCCGCCTTCGCGGCGGGTGAGCGGCTTCCCGGCCCTGCGGTGCGCCTGGCGGGGGAGAGGGGTAGGGCGTGGGGCTGCCCCCGGTCGGCTCCATGCTCCCTGCAGAGTGGACACTGCCTCTCTTCACCGCGTCCTCCTTGGCGTCATCCTCTTGGAATGAGCAGAGCTGCCCTGCGGGGCTCGCACGGCAGTGGTCTGTGGGTGCTGGTTCCGTGCGGCTGGGGACCTCGAGAGGTCTGAGAGGGCGGTGCGAGCCGGGGAGTCTGGGAACTAAATGAAGGTGCACCCTGCGGCTCTGGAGCACCCTGAGCGTGGCTTTCACCTGCATCCCCGGGAGAAGAGGGAGGAGATCATGGGGTTCCTCCAGGCCCACACAGGTCTCCCTGCCACCTGGAGGAAGCCAATTCCTGTGCACCCGGGCACCCTGAGGGGAATTAGCTTTTTGAGAAGCTTCCTTCTGCTTTCATTATTCTTACCTTCTGAAATACTTACCTTTTGCTGATAAAGCTGCAGTATTACTGGGGATGGTGGAGCACACCTGTCATTGCAGTACTTTGGGAAGCTGAGGCAGGAGGATCTCGAGTTTGAGCCTTCCCAGGGCAATTCAGTGGCTTAGTGAGACCCAGCCTCAATATGCCGAAAGGGCTGGGGCTGCAGCTCGGGGGAGGGCCGAGTTCAGTCCTCAGTGGCCCTTGGAGGTCACTGAAGCACAGAGTGCTCGGTGGCTGCTGCCGAACCCACACACAAGGTCTGCGGTGCTCGGTGCCGGTGGGTGTGGAGGGCGCTGCTGGGCAGGGCGCACTCGGCTGAGGACACAGGTCCCTGATGAGGAAGCCCAGTGCCTTAGAAGGCCGCCCGTGGGCTCCGGTCAGATCAGTAGCTGAGCCAGGTACGTGGCCCTGGGCCGATCCGTGCTGGCCTGTAACCCGCCCCTGCCCGGCGCTGTGCAGCCAGGGGAACGGGCAGGAGCCCTGGGCACTGGGTCCCAGCGGGGCTGGGCTCTGCGGTGTCCCTCGCTGGTCCTCCTGGCACGGGCGTCCCTTTCTCTCTCAGCTGCTTCCCTCGGTTTCCTCTGTGGCCGCCCTGGGAGACCCTCTCCCACCCCCAGATTCTCTGTGGGGATCAAGGGCACAGGAGTGGCGCTGAGGTGCCCTGGGCTTCCAGAGTGCTAGCAGAGGGGGCTGGGGGGGTCACAGGAGGACGCCGGGCAGAGACGGAGGACGCTGGGCGTGTGTCCCGGTTGGCCTTGCCATGTGGCCCCAGCCAGCGAGGAGCCCAGCTCACCCCAGCTTGAGGAGTGGCAGTAGTCTGTGGCTAGCTTAGAGTGTCTGCCAGAGCTGCTGGCTGTTTCGGGGTGGGGGCACGGGGCTCCCTGCCACCATGGCTCAGCCGGCTTTGAGCTCACCCCAGCCCAGGCTGATGTCGCCTTTGTGGCACCCCTCTGGTCTCAGCAGCCTCGCCCGCCTTGGTCAGCAGCACTCCCGCTCAGGGCCCCGGAGGGGCAGTCCTGGGCCGAAGGGCGGTCAGGACTGGAGGGCGCCAATGCCTCTCCCCGCCCCGACGCAGACCCGGGCGCAGGGGTCCTCGGATGGGCCGAAGGAGAGGGCCAGGTTGGCGAGCTGTCGGTTTCCTCCTGGAGCTGTGTGCCGGATTCATCTCCTCTGGGGACCTTTGCTGAGCCTCATTTCCGGCGCTGGCCGAGTTTCTTTCCTACCTTTGTGTGCACTGGTTTATTTTATATATTTTGGATTTGCTCTGGTGGTGTTTTGTGAAATGAGGTGCAGCGGTTCCCCTTGGTCTCAGGTGCTCCTCCTTTTCTGTCTTCACGGTCGATGTGGCCCTCTGCCCCTGCCCAGGTGACAGTGTTGGCTAGGACTTCTAGAACTCTCTCCCCTGCTGGTGTCCCGCCTACCTAGCGGCCGCCCAGCTGGTGCTGCTGTGTGGCACAGGCTGTGGTGAGGCTGGCGCCTGGCCCTGCCCCGTGCTCCCCGAGTGTCAGCAGGAGCAGTGCTGGACTCGATAAATGGACACCCACACACTGGGCTGCAGGCCCCCTGAGGCTGGGTCTCGGGTCAGCGTCCCCAGCGAGTGGGGCAGCGCTGGCCTCCTCTGGGGGCGCCGCAGGCCCAGGCCCCAGGTTTGCTTGGAAGTGGTCCCTGTCTCCCTGAGACTCGTCTGTTTATGGCGTTTTTACTTTTTCTTCAGTTTTGTGGGGGTTTTGTTTCCTCAAGTCACTTGCTATGTTTTTAAAACCATTTAAATGATTTTTCTTGAGTCCTAAGAAAGTGCATTAGCGTGAACGTAGAAACAGTCTAAAGTCATGTCTCCCTCATTTCCAGATTCACATTTGAAACTTCATTGTTCCCCAGAGTTGTGTGTTGTGTGGTCTCTGTGGAAGCCTCACTTGAATTATCAGTGTGTTTTCTTTCTCTTTTTTTTGTCTTTTTTGAGACAGGGTCTCCCTATGCAGTGCAGGCTGGCCTTGAGCTCACTCTGTAGCCCAGGCTGGTCCCAAGCTGGTCTCAAACTCTCAACCATCCTCCCGCCTCAGCCTCCCGAGTGCTGGGATTGCAGGCGTGAGTCACCACGCCTGGTGAACTTGTGGTATTTTTTTCCCCTGGTACTGGGGATGGAACTCACAACCATGTGCTTGCAAGGCGGGCGCTTCTGCCGCTCAGCTGAATCCCCAGCCCCTGTTTTCTTTCTGAAGGCACTGACAGTTTGTGAGCTGTTGCTAACAGGAGAACTGAGATACTCGTAGCGCCTGGCGTCTCCTTCATGGTCTTTCCCATCTGTGGAGTTAAGGTCTTCGTCTGCTCCCCGTTCTCCCGTCTCCCGGGGCAGGGTGCCCAGTGCTGACACTCACTGTGTGGCATGTATTCTTCACTACTGTGTGCACTTTTCTATGAAAATGGAAATTCGATTTTGATCTGAAATTAGTGTCAGAATTTCATTTGCCGCGGCTGTCGCTCACACTGGGGTTCATGCTGGCCACGTGCTGGGGAGCGTCAGGGCGCTGACGTGGCTTTGTTGATTCCCCTCTGCGTGTGGTCGCTGGGGGAGCCGAGGGAGAGGGTTAATGCCCCACCCTGCTGCTCTCCAGCGCTCGGCTGCCCCTCCCAGAGCTGGCCAGCCCCCCTCACTCAGCAGGTCCCCCTCAGGGTGGGCGGTGGCGGGGGTGCTGAAGGAGGCCTGGCACTGCAGGCGCGGGGTGAGTAGGTTAGGGAGTAGGTTAGACTCACAGGTGTTTCCTGTGAGTCGGAGGGGTCTGCAGGAAGCCCCTGGCACAGCCAGAGGTGCTCTGCTCGGGCGTCACCCTCGCCCGCTTCAGGGGCACCCACAGACACAGAAGGGCAGGCTCCTGGCGTCTGGCTGGGTTGGAAACATTACTGAGCGCTGTCCTCACTGCCCACGAATTCCAGGAATCTTGGAAAGCAAAAGGCTGGACCTGGTGAAAGAGAAAACCATCAACCAGACCATCGGCCACGTGGTTTACCACGCCGCGGACCTGCCCATCTGGTGGCAGGTGCCCCAGTACGTGCTCATCGGCATCAGCGAGATATTCGCCAGCATCGCGGGTGAGCAGCCCGGGAGCGGGCGGCCGCCTCGGTTGCCCGTGGCTTTGTGGGTGTGCACGGTGCTGTGGCGGGAGGTTTTGATTTCAGGGCTCCCAGACATGGCTCAGGAGCCACGGGCAGCCAGTGGCCCCAGTGTCTGCGCCAGGCCGGCCTCCTTGCCACGCCTGGCGCCCCGGGCCGCTCCTGGCTTCTCGTGGGCAGGTGTGAGATTTGGAGCCTGGCGTGGTGTGGACAGGCGGGGCGGCCGCCGGGGCGAGAGGGATGGGGAGTGAGGGGGAGGGGGGGCCCAGCCCTGAGGACCTCAGGTGCCCCGGTGGCCGGTGTGGGGCCCTCGCTGGGGTGAGTGTCCGTGTCTTAGGGCTCCGCGATGCACGAGGAGCCGACCCAACAGTTTGCAGTGAATGTTTGCCTTGGGCACAGAGCTCCTGGGCTTTCCCACCTAGCCTGTGCACCTGGTTTTCAAAATCGAGTTCCTGGGGAGGAAAGGGGACTGGGTGTTCTTAACGGACTCCCAGAGCAGCCTGGCAGCCCTGGGCTCCGGCCAGGGCAGCGGGGCCCGGCCTCGAGGGCCAGGAGCGCCGGCCCTGCCGCCCAGCGAGCTCCCTCTCCCCGCAGGGCTGGAGTTTGCGTACTCGGCCGCCCCCAAGTCCATGCAGAGCGCCATCATGGGCCTGTTCTTCTTCTTCTCGGGCGTCGGGTCCTTCGTGGGCTCGGGGCTGCTGGCACTGGTGTCTGTCAAGGCCATCGGATGGATGAGCAGCCACACGGACTTCGGTAAGGCCGGGCCCGAGTTGTGGGGCAGTGGGCGGGGCGCTGTGCCCTGTGCAGGGAGAGCTGTCCTGGGCGGGTCCTCCCTTGGTTCACTTGCCTTTCCCGAGTGCCAACAGTAAGAGGACAGGGACGGAGCCGCACAACCGGCTTTAATCAGCAGACCACGCCCGATGGGTCCCGGGCGCTGTGGTCAGTGCTGTGCAGCCTCTTGGGTGCTGAGCGGAGTCACGCAGAGCTCGGGAGCGTCGCTGTCTCCAGACTGACGCTGGCTCTGTTTTCTGTTGTTGCTGTTTGGTTCTGTCCTTGTGTTGTCATTGCTGTAGTTGTTGTTTTGGTATTTTATGGGTCTCACTCTGCACACTTCGCTGGCCTCAGAGTCTTGGCAGTCCGGGTTTCAGGCGTGCGCCGCCCGCCCTTCGGTGGCAGCTTCTTGCAGACCCGAAGATGAGGATGGCTTCCCCTGGTGTGCGACCTGGGAGCACAGCCCCGCTGGGTTTGCAGGCTCTGCCTGCAGCCTTAGTCACGGCTGGGAGGGCCTGGCCCCTCAGGGAAGTGTGCTACAGGCTTAGCCCTTTCTCCAGGCGCTGGGCTTCCCAGCTCCCTTCTGTGGCTGAGTTAGGACTGCGTACTCGGGCGCCACGGCCTGCAGCGGCTTGGTGTGGTGATGCCCAGAAGCCTGGCCACTGCTGCCCTCCATGCTGGGCTCTGCAGTTGTGCACAGGCGCTGGGCCAGGGCTTGTGAGGAGTGCACAGATCGCACTGTGGGGGCCCTGCCAGTCCAGGGCAGAGCCAGGGGCATTGCCCTGCATGGGACGGACAGCTGCTGGCAGAGGCTGCTCCCCACAGAGCTGCACCCCTCACGACACAAAAGGCTCCGCCTTGTCCTCTGTTCCCCAGTCCGACGCTTGGCAGGGTGTTTGCTGTTTTGCCACAGCCCTGACTTAGTTTGAGTTAGTCTCTGCCATCCTGTGTTGGCACTGGCCGCTGTGGGCTCCTCCTCCAGCGTCTGTGCCCCCTGGGCCCTGAAATTTGGCACCCACCAGCTCGGGGCCTCTGGGCTGAAGTGACCAGGCCTCGGGAGAGCAGGGCGGAGCGGCCCACGCTCCACAAGGGTCTCTGGCAGCCATGGGAGGAGCAGCGGCTTCACGCCAGCCTTTGCAAGAGCCAGCTACAAGGGCACGGGCAGTCACTGTGCGGCTGCAGGCCGAGGGCCCGAGGAAGAGGCGCAGCTTGGTGTTACAGTGGTTGCTTTGCCCGCCTCCCCTGGAGCTCTGTCTTCATGGTTGAAGCTGGCAGCAACACTCCTGCTGCTGAGCGCCGTGGTCTTGAGCGAGTGGCTCTGTGGGCTCCAGGCCCCGCCTGCCTCTCCCCTGGGGGCAGGGGGAGGCGGCCACCTCCTCCTGTCCTTCCTTGGTTCTCTTCCCGTGGCCTTCAGTTCTCACGCCAGACCCTTCCAGGCCTTGGGGACCCCGGGACCTTCAGGTTAGGGTTTCCCCGCCTTGTCTCCCAGAGTGGCTGTGCCCCTGGGTATGCACGGCAGTTCTCGGGGTGATCCTTTCTCGCTTCTCACCTCTCTGTCTTCCTGGAAAAGCGCTTCAGCAGAGTTTAGACAGCTTGGAAAAGGCGGGGGTCCTGCTGCAGGCCAGGGCCGCACTTAGAGCTGGACCAGCCTGGGAGCCAGGCAGGGCTGGGAGCCTGGGGGCAGGGTGCATTCCCCAGTGAACACAGGAAGTGGGGGTCAGGGAGTCCCTGGAAGGCCTCGGGGAGCAGAGTGGCTTCCTCCGCACCACACTCACCTCTGCTCCGGGTGCCCCACTTCTGTCCCCATTTTGCTCAGGAGGTGCCAACACTGGCCTGGCTGGTGCCAGGGGTGAAGGGCGTCACCCTGCTCTTGTCCTGCTTGTTTGCCTGCCATCCCTGGTGTCCAAGCACTGGGCTGTGGGATCCCCTGGGGGAGGAGCTGGTTTGCAGGACTCTGCCCAGGCCACGTGGCGCCCCTGGCTGGGCTCAAAGCCCAAAGGTACCCACTGCTCTGCCTCCTTGTCCACCCTGCCAGGCTTCTGGGAGCTGGGCCCTGAAGGGATGGAGCCGAGCATGCAGGGACAGTGAGTGTGTGGCCTTGGCTGCATGTGGGTGTGAGGTGCTGGAGCGCAGGCTCGTGGCCCTGGGTGTCTGGGTCCTGCCCGGGCACGTGGCTTCAAGGGCTTCCAGCCCTGCCCTGGTGCCAGCCGTGGTGTGGAGGGAGAGGCTGGCGGGTCTCTCAGCCTGGTCACACAGGTTGTCCCCACCCTGCTTCCAGCCTCACACCCTGTGCAGGCGGTGCCGTGACCCTGGGAAGCTGCTGTAGGCCGGTCATGGGACCACACCCGAGGGCAAGGCAGGCGGTGAGGGCAGCCTGGCACTGCTGTCTGGCACTGCTCCACCGGCAGGACAGGGCAGGGCGGCCTGCAGCCCGCCCCTCAGCTCTGTCTGGAAGGACAGACTTGCACACGGGCTTACCTACGCAGTGTCCTCCTGCCCCCGCCTTCCCGGCCGCCCCATCGCTCCGTGAGCCCTGGCCAGCACGCTCCCATCGGCTCTTGCCGTGTCGTCCCTGAGCCCAGGGCGTGGCTCCCTCGCTCCGGCGCGGCCTTCTCCGGGGTGGCCGGGGCAGTGCGGCCTCACCTCGCTGCCTGCCTGCTCCCAGGTAACATCAACGGCTGCTACCTCAACTACTACTTCTTCCTGCTGGCCGCCATCCAGGGAGCCACCCTCCTGCTCTTCCTCATCGTGTCCGTGCGCTACGACCGGCAGCGGGCGCGCGGGGACGGCGCGGCCCCCAGCGCCAGGGCCTGACCGCCCAGCCGGCGGATGGACTCGCCAGTGGCCGCCCCGGCCGGTGCCTTCCTGTGGGCCGCAGGGCCCGAGGCCTGAGGCTGCTCCTGTCGTCACCTACGGCGGAGGGGGCTAGGGGCTGCTTCCCCCCAAGCCAGAGAACCCGCTTCTGCCACGAATGACAAGGCCACACCAAGAGGGGCCTCCCCCATGCGCGCACTGGTCATGCCAGGGGCTCGTGCGGGGGTCGTTGATGGCTGCTCCCAAGCCCAGGTGTCCCTGCCAGACCTGTGACCATGACTGCGTGGCACCAGCGTCTGTCTGCTTTTTCTGAGGCGGCAGATGTGGTTTCCCTGCAGAGAGAGCTGCATCCCTGGGGATTCCTTAGCGAAGGAGGCCTCCATCAGCCGAGCCTCGGGGTCCCCTGCTGTCCCCCATGGGCATCGCGAGGCGAAGCTGTGAACTTGCTGCCGGGCGGTGCTGTCAGTGACCGTCGGGCTATGAGTTTGTAACTGGACTGTTCTGTGTTTGTTGCTGTGTTTTTGGTAATGTTTTTATTATAAAAGCATCTCAGATGTCACGCCCAGAACCAGTTTCCTGAGCGATTTGTCCCCTTCTGTCGTTGGCTCAGCATTGACACACGCACTGCATGAGGTGTCTGCACTTTCCTCATGGGGTCACAGGCCCCCAGTTGGGGAGTCTTGGAGGAGGCCTGGCTCCTGCCTGCATCCTGGTGTTCAGGCTGGGTTCTGACGCGTTCTGTAGCCTGAGCACCCGCCAGAAAGGAGGCCCTTCCCCAAAAGCTGCCCAGAAACCTGGAGCCTCCACACGGGGTGTGAATGCAGGTGCTGCACGAGCACTCCAGAGTTCCCTGTGGGGGGCCGAAAAGCCTGCCCCGGGGGCTGCTCAGCCTCTAGCCCCGTGTGCCGAGTCTCAGGTGTCAGCCCGTGCTGCCTGAACCCTAGGGCTGCTGCGGAGGGAGTTCACAGTCACCCGCAGGACCCACCCCGGCCCTGCAGTCTGCCTCCCTGGGCACCCGGCGTGGTGCAGGGGTGTCATCGGAGAGTCACTTGAGAGACTGGCGGGAGGCCAGTGTCAGCTGAGCCCTCCTGCCGGGACTCTGGAGAACCATTCCTCCACGGGCGGGCATGGGCCTTGGTGACAGAGGTGTCTCTGCCCTAATGAGACCACTTTTGGGGGCTCCCAGTTTCCAGGGGCACTGGTGGGGAAGCGGCTGGAGGTGAGGTGACCCCACTGGCCTCTGTAGCACCAATGCGGGGTGGGGTCCCTGGAGGCGCCCCACAGACCCAGCTGCCCTCCTCTGCTCCCGTCCCCAGCTCTGTCCTGTGCATCTTCCTTGGGGCTCTTCCCCAGGCCTTTGCAGCGACCTTTATGGAGCAGGGTGGACTAATCGAGGGGCTCCCCTGCCCTCAGGGGGCTGCGGGAGCCGTGAGTCATGATCCTGAATCTGACCCCGCCTGGGGGACGGACGGGGCCCAGGCAGGTCCCAGCTCGCTCTGGAGGTGGCCTGCAGGTTGCTCATGTCACACGAGTGACAGCTCATCAGCTGGCACCTGCCGCCCAGTGGGTGTGAGTGCCCTTCACGGTGGTGCCCCAAGTGCGGTCAGTAGAGAGCAGCCTCACGCTCTCCTCAGCCAGCCAGCCAAGATGGAGTGACCAGGTCCACCAGCAGCTGAACAGACACCCAAGAAACACAGAAAACCCCCTACTGCTGGGGGCTATTTTAGATTTGCCTGTCCTCAAGCTCTTGGTGTGGCCGTGGGGTGCCCAGAGAACTGGGTGGTGAGCTCCATGGCGGCCCGCTGACCCCTTAGTGGATATCCCCAAGCTCTTGGTGTGGCCGGGGGGTGCCCAGAGAACTGGGTGGTGAGCTCCGTGGCGGCCCGCTGACCCCTTAGTGGATATCCCCAAGCTCTTGGTGTGGCCGTGGGGTGCCCAGAGAAATGGGTGGTGAGCTCCATGGTGGCCTGCTGACCCCTTAGTGGATATCCCCAATCTCTTGGTGTGGCTGTGGGGTGCCCAGAGAACTGGGTGGTGAGCTCCATGGCGGCCTGCTGACCCCTTAGTGGAAGGTGGTCAGACGCAGCTCTGTCTGCCCCGTGTCGTGACTGCAGCAGAGCAGTGGGGTCCCTTGCTGGGACACAGGCCCTGACACCCGTGATTTGAAG